AACAAACGAATGAAGTGAAGATGGAAATGATTGAAAATGAATGCAAAAAAATAGAACGAAATACAATTGAAATGGATCCGTAAATGATATATATATATATATTTAATTTCTTTATAGTGAAAATCTCATAATTCATTTTTGCCAAAAACAACAAAACCAAAAAAAGTAAATAATTTAAATATCGCACTGAACGTGATACGTCCTCAACCCAATTAGGAGTTTAAATATATAAATATAAATTAAAGCTGTCCAAAAATGCGCCGCAACATCAAATTGATTGTATTCGTTAGCATCATTTGGATGTTTGTGATGGTCTACTATTTCCAGTCCAGCACGGAAAAGGTAAGTTTTTGGGGAATACAATTTAGGGGAAAAGTTCAAAGATTATATCGGTGGCAATAACTCAACCAGGAACGACTCTAAACACAATTTTTAAACATGAGAGGGAAAAATAAAAACAAGTACTTATGAAGCTCATTTATTCTCACCTGGCTTCAACTATACAGCGTCACTTTCATTTTCCTTTTGGCCAGGTGTTCTTCTCTGTTTTTTTTTTGTGTCTCTGCTAGCTAATGGTGAGCCGTTTTTTAGCTTACCTTTCAGATCATGCAATACCCGGGCAAAAACTAAGTAAACTTCAAAATTGGATCCACCCTTCGCCGTCACCATTTCTTCCTCTTCCGCTTGAGTCATCATTATCATCTTTTTTTTGTTTTTTTGGTGTAACGAACATTGCGTATGCCACCCTGCATAGTAATTATTGGATTTGCTACCGTCTTTGATACTCCATTGTTTTCTCTTTTTTCCTCATTCACACCCTCTCACCTGCCTTACCTGTCGTCTTACGTGTATGCATATAGAGTACCCTCTTCTCTTAATTAGCCTCACGTATCGGACAGGTGCCACCATCTCATCTAACCAACTGTATTTTTTGTCGCTTAATTTACAAGTTTTAATTAAGTTTTTTTACTTATAATAATCTATAGTTTAATGGTTTTTTATTAGACAAAAGAAGTTTGAAATGCATTCTAGAAATGATCTATACTAAGCTATAGTTTAGTGGTCTTTTATTAGGCAAAAGAAGTTTGAAATACATTCTAGAAATTATCTATAAAGAAAACTTATCTTCAAAGAAAATATTGAGTTCTTAATCCCACATATTTCCTTTGAATTTAATCTCAAATATATACTGTATACGAAGTCAGCATACTTTACTATGCGATTTTAAATTGTATTTGTCAGTGGCACACGTGTACTTCAATTGAATTTGACTTGTTTTTGCTTACTTATTTATCCAACCCACAAGAATAACAAGCCAAAAATTCGTTTGTGTTTTTTGTAGAAAAGAATACAAACAAATAGACTTCAGCACGTTAGGGGGAAAGAAGTCTCTTCACTCTCAAAAATGTCAATTTATTTCAGCAATTTCAAATATATATATACATTTTTTTTGTATTTTATTTTGCTAGCGTGCGGAAAGGACAGAATTACATACTCAATAAAATAAATACAACAAGGAGCAACTACAAAGTGACTGAGAGCAATAACAAAAGAAAAACAAGAAAGGAAGTTAACTTCGGGAAAACCGGAGTTTTTATACTCTTGTAGTTTGCTAAAAGAGAACTTAGACAAAAAAGCAGGAATTTATTTATATTTACATTTTATTTTATAAGGATTTTCATATAGAATCGGAATATATATAACTTTTGGCAATCACTTACTGTTATAGCCTTTGTCACACCAGTCATATTAGTACTTAAAATCGGGTTTTATCAATATTTTTATCGGATATTTTCAAGTTTAAAAAACTCATACCTTTGTTAAAAAAGAATTCATTTCAGTTTGGAAACATTTTCTGTGCTAGTTTTTAAAAGCTTAATTAAATTGCATACTTTATTTAATTTTTCAGAATATGCTAATATTTTTTTTTTAATTTTGACAATTTTAGCGAAAATTAAGTTAAATTTTGAAAAAAATCTCAAAAATTTAATTTTTTATCAGACATGACTAGATAGATTCCCCTGTTGATGCTGCTGATCAATAATATATATAGTTTATAGGGTCGGAAATGACTTCTTCACTGACTAAAAGTATAATACCCTCTGCAAGAGTATAAATGTTCATACATATTTTCTCTGAAAACATTGCACACAGCACTTTTATAAATATGTTTTTTTTTTTTAAGAGTGTTTAACAAAAACCCTTTTAATTTATTGCCCACTTTGAAAGATGCTATGGCATTCATGGTGCTTCTGTTTTCTACAGAATATTGCACACCAAAAAAAAAACTACAATAAAACTGCAGAATCAACTTAGCTGAACACATTTTTTTTAAAGAAGTCAAAAATTTAAAATGAAACATCACAAAGTGTAAATTATATTAAAAGATTTACAGATATGCGTTCACACTGAAAAAATAAACAAATATATATGGGAAACTATAGGAATTTTCTTTAATGATATATTAAAAATATTTAAACCAATTCTTTAATGTAATTAAAATATTCAGTGTTATCTCAACACACCGGGTAAATAATATTAAATTAATAACTGATGGCACTCACTGGTATGGTATGCACCCACATTTAATAAGTGTGAAATGCAATAATGCCCTCTGTTAATTACACTTTTGATCTTTTGCAATGATTTTTAAAATTGAGGAAAATAATAAATACAAAAAAGGCAGCAACAAAGCAGAGTGCATTTAAAAAAAAAAACTGAAAACGTAAATCTGCACAAATGAAGCCGATTATGGAGATGCCTGGTGTGGTGTATGTGAGTGAGTGTAAATACACACAGCGAACTCAGTCATCATCATCATCATCATCATCATCATCATCATCATCATTATTATCATCATCATCATCATCATCGTGGTGGTCAGGAGTGAAGTTGCAGCCATTTGTGGACACTTGCCCCATTCCTTCCGGAATCCCCAACAGCAATCATCTTCTTTGCACCACGAAATAATTTTTCATGTAAACTTGATTTATTTGGCTTTTTTTATCCGGCACTGGAAAATGCAGGAAATGCTGCCATAGTCCACTCATTGCAATTGGTTTTTCAGTGGCTTTTTTCCCCCACTTTTGATAATCTGTCCTCCGAAGCACGTTTAATTATTAACTTATTCCCTGGCACAAGCTAAATTAAAGCCACAAACTTTGTAGATAAGATTATGGTTTGTTTGAGGGATCTGCAGGCTAACTTTAGTTTGACATTATCAAATATTTATGATCATGAGGAGATAAGTTCAAGTTGGTTTAATAACCAATTCTTTGTTTAGCACAGAATCTTCAAGTACTCAGTACTCAGTACTTCAGTCAAGTGAAGAGGGAATGTTTCCAAGCAGTGATAAGAATATGTATTTCAGCTACAAATGTTTGTGGTGTATTAAATAATACAAGATTAGAGATTACATTATAAATTGTATCTCTAAAACCATTAATTCCTCAATCCTCGACAATCTTTCACCAGTTTGTGTTTGCCATTCAATGACATTTCATTCATAAGGCCATATCCGAGTTTTTCTGCCATCTCATGTCTTCAACTTGATTCGTAATCGAAACGAGAGCATTGAATGGGGTTTGAAAGTAAATAAATAAGACAACACAAAAATAAAACATAAAAAAACTTGCACACACAAGTCAATCACACATTTAATTTAATTTAATTGTTAGCAGCGGGGCGTTGGTTACATAACTGATTGATTAGTTAGCGCCTTTTTTGTTGCTGGTCTTCTTTCATTTTGTGCCTTAATTACTTTGGTTAACCATTTGGAGTTCCCGCAGCTTCTCAATATAGTGTTTGAAATTGAACTTTCTCTTTTTGCGACTAAACTTTTCCACTCACATCTGGGGTCACGCTTGGCTTTAGTCATTTTTTTTACGGATTTAAATTGGGATGATGCACAAGAAAGTTCAGTGTTTCCCATAAGTTTTTTTTATTAATTTCTTGCAAGAATTTTCTCTACTTGCAAGAGAATTTTAAGTCCCCTCTCTGATGCACATTGCCATAATTTCCATTTGCTTGACACTCGAAGATGTCCCAGCATCGTTGGTCATATGCAAATGATGCCATCATAAATGCAAATTTGGACAGAAAACTTTTTCCAGAAGTTTTCTTCTCGATTTTCACCACATGCAATGCCTGCCTGCGATCTCATATATGTAAAAAAAGGAAATCTATTATAACGACTGTCATTTAACTTTATGGCCTTGCCGAAAAAAAGACAGTATAGAGATAGCAAAAAAAGACTCCGATGGTATTATAAATATTTCAAGTTCAAACTAAAATACTTTCAAAGACCTTAACGCCTCATGAATTCGATTTATAGCATCATGGATTGGACCATAAAAAAGAGACCAGTTGATGTATATATAATAATAAATAAATCTGTTTGGCTTTGTAGCAAAAAAGCAAAACTAAACATTTGCGTGACAGAGCAAGTTACGCTCTGGTTGACACTCCACATCGCATTAAACTCACTTCAAAGAATGCCAAAAGATTCAGCAAAAAAATATTATACATACAAAGTAATTTGCTCTTGAAAGCATTGAAATTAACATTTTGGTCGATGGAAATTAATTTCAATTAAGCTCAATAGACGGCATGGTCGGGCTTAGAAATCGAACTGGTTTTTATATGTTTTGAGATGATGACGAAAGCAGATCGATAAAAGATTTGCCTATTTAATCTGAAAATGGGAGTCTTCGCTTCGAAGAGTTTTCGATTTCTGTGAACAGAGAGTTCCAATTAATCCATGGCTGCTAATGGTCTTAATTGCATAAAGTTTTATATTCTTTTTAGAATGTTAGGTCACTTAGAAAACCATCGAAATAAAGTTTCCCATCTATATTTAACGACAACGTCTGCTCTCTTGGCCGTTGGATAAATAGCATATCATCAAACAACTCGCGTTGACTTTTTCAGTTTTGGGACTAAGGCTTTCAATGACAACTGGCCAACTCGAAAACCCGCCAGTTAGTATGGAATTTACAAAGTTCAGTTGCTCATTTGGCATTTGATCAGCATTTTGATTTACTATGAATAATTAACAGGCCAGACTTTTAATTTTGTTTAACTAATTTCCGCTTGAGGGATTAAAGGGGAAAGCGACGGCATAAGGTAGGGATTGGAGGTCACAGTCAGCGTAAATGATAAACTTCTCGCCCGACCGGCTATGGATATATTTAATTTTGAATGGGCCTAAACAAAACTGGTTATCTGCCTCTCCATGTGGCCTTTTCTTCTGAGCAGCTGACCATCTGCGACTGCTGCTGCTGCTGCTGCTGCTGCTGCTGCTGCTGCTGCTGCTGCTGCTGCTGCTGCTGCTGCTGCTGCTTCTGTTGCTGCTGCTGTTCCTGCCGCAGGGGATGTTGCTCATGCTGCTGGCAATGTTGCTCGCTATGTTGCTGTTGCATTTGATGTAGATCCAACTGTCAATGCTGTAATATTCATTCCATTATTGCAGTTACTGTTGTGGCTTAAAATTAGCTAAATGTTTTATGCTGTTCCTTCTGATATCAAACCTTCAATTTCGTTGCAGCTTCTGCTGTTGGTTATGCTTCGGTTTTATCTCATTTTGTATCCTTTGAAGAGTCCTTTGTCTTAACAACCGCATCATTTCAATTTTTCCTTTTAATTTCCAATGCTGCATTTGCTGTTTACTTGGCAGCTATTGCTCTTGCCGTTGTCATTTCCCCTAACAGCAATTGCAGCTGAAAATGTCAGCTATCGAAGACTTTTCCTAAACGACAAATGCCTTTGCTGTTGATTTTTCTGGTTTTTCCACTGACAGCTGTTGCCACTGTAGATGGCAGCAAATGCAACCTACTGCAAAATTTGGGAAAAGGCTTTTCCTTTAACTTAGGATTTAGAACTTGGGTTTAGCAGCTGCTGCTGCTGCTGCTGCCTTCTTTTTGGCATCTTCAGCTGCTGCGGCTGCGGCTTGTTCGCTGGCTTTCTTGGCTTCAGCCTCGGCTTTTTTCTTAGCATCATCCATTATGCAACGTAAACGTAACTTAACGCACCGAGGCAAGGTCGTCTGGTTTTGCTTACCAATTTCACCCTTTATGGGTCTTCTTCTTCCTTCATTTACTGATCCAATGATGTGTTTTTCTGCACAGCAAATAAATTTGGGATGCTCAAAATATTGGACTTCGAATTAATAATTAATGATATATTTCGTTATAATAAATAGTAATTTTAAATTTAGAAGACTAGTGTCGGAGAACAAATCCAGAATCAACTTTATTTCAATGCTAGTCAAAGAGAACTGTTCAGAGACAACTTTTGCTTGACACACTATGATCCATTATTATTCATTATGTTCAACAATTAAAATTAAAATAAATTTAAAGACTTTAATGTAATGCAAAGAAATAAATTCAAAGACTTCAGTTTAACTTAATTTTCTGCGTGCTCAAACCGGTCACGATGCCATCCCCATTGTCCATATTTTTTCTTTTTTAGGTAGTTGCCTCTGGGGC